GAGAATGCTTGCATGCAAGTCTTGCACATTGCATTGATTGCCCGTGTCTTAAGAGGTCCGTGTGTAACCGAGTTTAGCAAGTGGCTTAACTGTTTGAGACTAAAGTAGAAAAAATCGTACAACTGCTTCTTGTGCCCATTATGGCTTTGGTTAAACTTTGTCTCGTATTTCCAGGCCTTCTGTTGTGCATGAAAATGGCCATCTAGCCTGAGCATAGGGTAGAGCGTGCCTACCCTGATGCTTAAATGAAGCATGTGTAGCTCGTGACCTACATAGTCATATAAACTGCAGCAATATTCGGTAAAGATTAGATGTTGGGTGCAGTTTATTTACAAGTCTCGCATGTAGTTTGTCTCATATAATGAAAGGCAGAGGAAGCTAAAATTGCGAGTGGAAGCTTCTTAGAATATCCTACTGCTTTATGCTATTTGCAGTCCTAAAGCTCTTTGCATTTTTAATGAAATTTTAAATTACGTGACTTCACTCAAAATGGCTCAGCGTCCAGGAAAAAAAAACGAATTAGTGGCATGAGGTACATACCGCCTTTAAAATAGAGCCCAAGTTGGAAATGCCAGTCATTTAAAATATTTGGTTTCATTTTAAAATTGAAGTTTGTTAGATGTTTTGTAACAAGTTTTTCTTGCACACAAGTGCAGTAAGGGCTGGTAAGGGTTTAGAAGAAACTAGAAGAAACCAACTGGCAACGCATTTTATTGGTGGGAAAGTATTTCTTTGTTCCGGAGTAAACCATCTTACTTAGCAGTGTTAAGAGCCCGACAGACTCGTTTTGCTTCTGGAGCCTGGGACGATCTTGGGTTTTGGACAAGAAGAGTAGTGCCAGTTTTGCTCTGAATTCATCTAAGTTGTCTGTTTGAATAGACAGCAGTAATACGGTACTGGCTGGGGACTTCTCAGAGCTTGATTCAGTTAACCTGCTTGCTGTAGGATGTATTTGATCCTGGGAAAACTGGTCTTTCTGCGCTTACCAAGGATAGAGATTTTTGAATTGTCCAGATGGAGAAAGCAAGGTGGTGATAGATGCAAGTGTGTTCATGCATTTTCTCTTCTGGGGTTAGAGACGTGCTGGATCACTTACTTTTCCTCGCAACCTAAAAAAAATCCTCTTTGACATATTGCCATAGTACGTGCATATTTGTGGATAGCGTTGTTTGACAGCTGAAGCCTACGCACAAAACCCCCACCATTCGAGTAAGTGCTCTGTTGTGCAACCCTCGCTGCATCCATTCAAAGTAACCCCAGCCCCTTTCTGCCCTGCTTTTTGACTGCAGTTGCTCGGAAAGGGACTTAAAAAGATGCTTGACAAATTACAGCTCATCTTTTTGCGCTTGCTTAAATGTAGTGCAGGCTTCCTAATGAACTACTCGATCTTGCATCATCAGAAATTTTTAATCAATGTGCAGCGTTGCTGGAGACTGTTTGCACAAGCTAAACACGAAGTTAAAAAATAACTGCCTGTGCACACTTTTAAATCGACAGAAGCTGCAAACTGATTCTTGGTTTCACGTAGCTCTGCTGTTGAAGTGATGGCTATATGTTCTTTTCAAGGTGGGGGAAAGAAATGAGTACAGGTAATGTGGACGCTTTATAAAATTTCCTTACAAGGTGACCTTTTAGAAAAAACACAGCTGAAGCTAATCTTCATTGAAATCTGTTTGTAAGCTTAGTTAAGTGTGTGTGATTTTCAGAACATCCAAACCTTTGCCGTTAAACATTAAGAGGGTAATGCTGAATAAAGTGCAAGCTTTACTAGGACTGGTACTGGTTTTGAGCATTTCTTTTTTAAGGAAAAATCCAAGTTCATCTTCATTATCTCTTACAATAAGACTGAGGAGGTGCTGGCGCTTGAGGCCCTTGAGGAATTGTCTTTTTTGAGGCTGGTGAGTGACTTTGATGAAGATGGTTAGGCCAGTGTTGAGGACTAATGAAAATCCCACCTGTGAGGCCCTTGGTTTAGCTCTCAATGTCATTGGTTGGCCATGCCTCAACACTGGGTCCAGCTTGAGTCTTGATGAATTTTGAAAGTCATCTTTCTAGGAACTTGTGCTAGTCAGGAAGGCCTTTCTGTCCTCAAGATAATTACATGTGACTTCCACTGACTTCATGAGACCGTTACAGTGTGTTTAGGGAAAGGATATAGCCTTGAGTGTGGAGCTTATGCAACACTTGAAATGGCTATTATTGCCGCTGTATAATACATGCGGAAAGATTAGTTGGCTCTTGATGGCTGCTAGGCCATCAAGAAATCAGCAGATTTGTTTGGGACAAAAATGTGTTTTTCCTATGCTGTCCAGTGCTACACTTAATACATCTCATTTAAGAACTTTTTTTTTATTACCAAAAGGTTTTGAAGTACAGTGACTGCTGTAGAGAAAGCTAGTATTTGCTAAATGACGTGTTAAAACACTGTGTGGAGGAGTACAGAATTTTCTAATTTTCTTCCAGAAGAGAGGTGACTGTATTTTCCGTTTTCTTCCTTGTAGGATGATTTGGACACCTAAATCCTCTTTGTTGTGGAAGCAATTGATATAATTTGTTCAGTAATAATATGACTGAAAGAATGTGTTTTATTAACACATTATGTTAAAAAGCCCTGTGCTAAAAAACATAAGGCCATGCCAAAACTAAACTTCAGAAAGTAAAAACTACAAAGTTGAAATTTTATATATAAAGTTTCTGTCTACCAAGTTGCTTTTGCCAGTTGTGAATCTCTGAATAGTTTCTTAAATGAAATTATATTTTTAATGGATTGATGTTGTTGCCACATTAATACTGCATAAGCTGACAAATTATACCCCTGGTACCTTAGCCTAGAGTCTTCCCTTACAACATGTTTAAACAAGAAAATGATTCTTGTATAATGATTTAAGGGACAATAGTTGTGTTCTGACAAACTGGAAGAAAAGGGAGGGAATAGGCAGTTGAGCTGTCAAATCCCTTAATTACATTACAGACCAAAGTTGCTGTCATTAGTCATAACTAACTCCCTTTTAAAGCCCACCTCCGTTCTAGTTTGAGTACCCAGCGAGTAATCTGGAACTCGGAGCTACATATGATTTGTATTCATTTACTGTGCCTAATGTAGGGTGGATATTGAAGGTTAATTATTGCATAGCTTTTTCAGGGGGGTAAATGGGATATAGCCTGGAGTTGTGGGTAGTGATTGCTGGATATGCCTGGTGCCTCATCTTAAATACTAGAATAGCTGTGGGCTCCTTTGATTTGGCACTTCTGTGAAGGTTTTTGGGATTAAAGCTGTGCACGTTTGTGCATTCGTCTGAGTTACTGGGGTGGTCATTTCCGGACAGTAAGAAGGGAATTTATTTGAAAATATGGGAACATTCACAAGTGGCCCTGTAGAGCAGGATCTCTTCTGAAACACGAATGCTTTGTGGGTGGTTGACTCTACTTTGGGTTCAGAGATTGCTGTTAGTTTTTGAATGTGTCTTAGTCCCAGATTGATATTTCAGATGTAAACAAAACCTTGTTCCAGTTTCTAATTCAAGCTAGCATCCTCTTTGCTCCTATCGTCATCTGCCTCGTTTACTGTCTCGCCTGTGAGGCCCTGAAAAAAAGAAGTTTTGTAGAATGGGAGTAAATAATCATGCAATTAAGCTGTGTATCATGCTGCATAAATCTAGGTTATTTTAGTAATGATTTTTCAGCAGTGTAGCTAAAGTAGTGGGCTCTGTGATTCAAATGGTAATTGACTGTGCAGCTAAAAAATTAAACTCAACTGCTCTGTTTGGGATGATGACTATTGCAAAAGCTGGCATTGTTCCCTTTAAAGATGAAGTCCCAGCTTCACAGCCCCAACGTGCAGCAGTGCATAAAAACTGCTTAATATCCAGTTTTTTGTAGTGAAGTGCTTAAGAAATGTCTTTATAAACTTAATTCTGCCTTTGTGGAGCTGTAGTATAATAGCTTTTAATTGCATGATTAATTTTCTTAGAGGCCTCTGCTTAATTCATTGCATTGCTTGGGTATATATGGGGCTAGAATTGAGGTAGTTGTGTATTTTCTATTCTTTAATTTCTTGTGTGGGTGAGTTAGACGAGTAATGTCCTTTTTTTTTGCGCTAACATTTAGAGGAGGAAAACTCTAGATCTCATTAGAATGAAATTAATGTTATCTACTCGGGGCTCGTTGGTTGAGAAACGGTTTATTAGGATGGCCTTATGTCTTGTTTTGCTGCTTGCCTTTGTCTTCTCTTGGATCACACATCCTCCCACCCCCAAATTAAGGTTTGATAAGTTCATACAAATCCTAGTTTTTATGTTTTATAAAGCTTATTAGTGTGACGTATTTGTCCTCCAGCCCAATAGCTATTTTAAATTCCCTTGTCTCTGAAAGTTTTGGACGTCGTTTCAGACTTGCAAAAAGTTGAGACTGAGCCATTTTTCACTTCCTGTCAGTAAATATCAAAGTAGTGACTCTCTGTGCTGACTTCTTTTTACTGAATAAAATTCTTGTATTTTTCTGTGGGCGTTTGAGGTTAGGATATGCTTAAGTACACATCGGTGCTTCTTTAAAGGAGATCCTGCAAAGTGTGGTAGGGTGCTGAGAACACGTACCAGGGAGGTCCCGTACTCTGCCTTGAAAGAGTTCATGTTGAATTTGGTTCGTGGGTTAAAATAGGTAAATTTGTCACTTCGGAAATCTCAAACTGAGATGCGTCAATCAGGCTTCTCATATCCATTGCCTCCTTACTGAGAAGATCCGCTCAGCAGACGTGTTACCTTGAGGACAGCTGCTCAGCCTCGCACGTACAGTTGTCCTTTGCCCCTGGCACAGCTCCTGGCCTCGGGCTGCTCTGTATTGCTGCAGCTAGTTGGGATGCCAGGGTAGGTATGATAAATTGGGACGCGGCTTCTTCCAAAGCGTGAGCAGAAACAAAAAGCCTTCTTAAATGGACCTCTGCATGTTTTCACCTCTAGAAACTTGTTGGGATTGTAGGGTTTTGTTCAGCGCTGTAGACCTGGACTTGAGTAAGGAGTTGAGGCCCAATCTTTGACTCCTCAGCTGAAGAGTTCTTTATTCAAATTGTATATGAATAATACAGTGTGCTGTTGCGTCATTTGTTATGCTCCTGTTTGCTCTTGGCTTTTTCTTAATGGGAAGGGTCGCTTTTTTGTGTCCTGTAATATTGTCAGCTATTTTAGAGGGATTTGCAGCTCTTCACAACAAGCTCATGTTTCCTTTGCTATCTGCATGCTTTCCTGTCTTCATTTGTGATTCCAAACCATGCTGAAATTGAAGTTTAAGGCAACTTTTTCTCAGTCTCTGTCAGAACAAGCTCTTCTGTAGAGTAGACGTCATCTTCTTTCATGCTTCTCTGTTACCATTTTTTTAATTTATGCTGTGAGGTTTATGAGGTTGATACTGTGTTTTGCAAAAAAAATGGTGCCTGCTTATTATGTAGATTATGTGTGGTTTTTTTCCAATCTTCTTGACCCTATTAGCTGTTCAGCAAAGCCTCCATATGGCTGAGAGCTCCAGGATGCATTTCATACACCTCACAGATGAAGGGAAGAGTCTTGCTCTGGGAATCCTTCCCAAATGCAATGTAGTAAGCAGGTCCAAAAGCCCTGCTATGGGATGCAAGTGAGTTGAGGATGTAGCTGGTTCCCGAGACTAGCTGGCAGTATCATCTTCTAGCATCTTCTGATTTACTTCTTCACGCTGTGGGAATTTGAGTTCCCCTCCAGACCTGTTGTCCACCCCATGACCTCATCTGGACAGATTTGCCTCCCGTATACAAAGGAGCTGCAGTTTTGTTGTCCCTTGTCTAGGTTGCTGCATTTAAATTACAAGCTGAAAGATTAACAAATAGAAAAAGAAGAAGAAGAAAAAAAAATAGTTGAAATATTGAGCATTAAGGGGTTAAATGCATTTCTTCTAAATCATAAAATGTTTCTCTCAGCCACATCTGAGTTGGTCTCTTTTCTTGTTCTTTAAGGCACAGATGGTAGAGTTGGCAAGTGCAGCTGGCTGGCTACAAGGAATCCTCCTTTGCTCTGAAGAACTTTCTTCCTGTTCATTTCCTCTATACTTCCTGATTATCCAGACTCATAGAAAAATAGTAAACTTATTTTGCGTTTCATGCTGGCTAATGGAAATACTGCCTGTTAAAAAAAAAAAAGATAGGCATGTGTACAGGCTAAACAGTATATATGCTAGGAAACTTTTCTAGATTTGGCTGGGTGTATTTTCTTATGTCTTTTAGGTTTTTTTTTGGTAGGGATGCTGTCAAGAAAATGGCACTAATAAGAGCTTGGCCATTTGTCAGGACTCTTAAATCTGTTTGAGGATGGAGTGTGGACACTTCTTGTAACACTCCCCCTGTAGCTTCAGGCTGTCAAGCTGTTGAACAGCAAGAACAGTTCTTTTTTTCTTGCCGTTGCTATACGGACTTGTTTAAGCTGGAGTTAAAGGGCTTGAGGTTAGCATGCTAACATTTCATAGCTGATAGGGCCAGATGCGCTGCTAGACCACGTTGCATGGTTACTGAAGTCAGAGTTCCTGAAAATTGCAGACAAACTGAGACAACAAAGCAAGTTTCAGAGACTTCAAAGTCATGTTGTTCCTCTGCTCTTCAGTGTCGCTATCAAACGGGACTTAGCAGTTGACAGCTTGGCCACCCCATGCTAGAGGCTGGTTTCCTTTGCACTGTGGCTCTCCGCAGCCAGGAGGGTGATGGGTGATGCATAATGGAGCAAAACTGACAGCAGCTTGCGCGCGAATGAGGAGTGGGCTGTTTAGGAGCAGATTAAAGCAAGTACATGCCTTGCTTGCCTGAACTGGAAGTGAAAATTTGCATTCCTGGCAGTTGTGAAGCTTTTATCAGGCCATAGATTCACCAATTTAAATCTGTTCTTTGTTAAATAAGATTCACATTTGGAAGCTGGAAACCGAGGGTTGGGAAAAATGGACTGTTGTCCTTTTATTTGCACGTGTCAGCTTCAGGTTTTGCAGTAAATTTTCAGCTCCAAAGCATGACTTGAACAGTGACTATCATTCACAGCTTCAGGAACACTCAGCTTGTTTTAAATTTCCTTTTTAAAGAAAGATGAAGTCTAATGCCTGGTAGGTCTTCCTGAAGCCTTTGGTTGTAAAGGGCTAATAGTCTTAAAATTGTTTTTTATTTGCGTTCTGATTTCAAATCTGTTGTCAGTGTTGGGTTTAAAAAGTAAAGCTATATGTAAATTCTTAAGCACTGCATGCTCTAGCATGCTTATAAAATAGGAAGATTAAGTCATTTGCTTTCTGTTTTTCTGTTGTAGCCGCCTTCATGAGTGGAGCGAGGATAAGGGATTAAATGCTTTGTTTGAAATAGGACTTAATAAAATTACTTAGAAATTCTAATGACTCATGTTCTAGATATTAATTGAGAATGTTGATCGTTGCAAGAAAGGCTATAGCTGTCTATTTTTGCAACTTTCTTGTGGCTGTTTAGGAACTTAAGAATTGGTAAATATTTCGGTATGATTTTTTGGCCGCTTTCCATGATTAGGAAAAAGGCTGCATTTGTGAGCAGAATCAGTTATAGGACCAGCATGAGTAATTTGCTTTTATACCTATATGTATATAAAATTTCAAGAGTATACTGCATATTCTTTAATTTGATCTTGGCATAATGTGAATATATAGACAGCTATTTTTGAAAGTGATTATAACTGCTGATTTGCATAATGGTACAGGATTTTTCTCATAGCAACTGGAAAGACTACATCTTTAGCATGTGGGAATGATTTCAGGCTTTAAGAACAGTGTTTTGTTAAATCTACGAACAGCATTAGAGCAAAGGCGTTTCTGAAGTGGCGTGTGGATTATTTGCTTTGGTATGTCTTCAGTATTGACGAAGCATCGCTTTTTCATTGTGGAATTTGGTAATTTAGCAAATTGTTGGGTGCTTTTATTTTAAGGTTCCTTGGGTATAGGGTAGTGTCGTCTTTGTTCACTTGAAAGCTGAAGTTTTGTAGTTAGTAAGAAGTATGAACTTGAGTAGAGGATGGCATTTTAATGTTTTGCTGTTGTGTATCATGAGTTTGTCTCATGCATTTTTTTAATTATGATCGTTAACTAAAATCCCAGCCTCCATGTTTACAAGATTGAGAAAGGAATGAGTGCTTTAAAAAATGATGAAATCATTTCTGGGAATGGGTTTCTTAGGAAGGAGCTACTTTGGCAAAATGTGGCAGGTTTTTATTTTACCAAATAAAAAATGTTTTTTTAGAAGGCCCATTTCAAATTTTGGTAGTCAGACAGTTTGGTTAACTTTGTTTTGCATGTGTTGTAGAACTGCCTCAATAAATGGCTGAGGCTTTTTCCATTTTCATTTGCCTGTCTAAAAAAAAAAAGCTTGGAATTGATAATGAACTTGTTGCATGTTTTAAATCATCAGTTCTTCCAGATTTCTAAAATTATCAGTATCATTACTAATTTCGTGATGACTCAGAATTCTTGCTTTGAATGTAAGCCCAGCTTCCAAGCTCCTTTGTAAGAAATCTCGTCTTGGTAGCGAATATCTTAATTTCAGCTTTGGAAATCAGTGTTAAATTAACTGAGGTGTGAAGAGCAGTGTCTCTGAACTGTTGAGCATGGCTGGTGATAGAAGAACTTGCTGAAGATGATACTCAGTGGACGGTTGCTCCCGTAACTGGCTCGGCTCCGTACCCTTGCACAATAACCATGCAGTGATCACAGGCTGTCCCTGAGGAGGACTGTTTCGTTCCCCAGCATCAGGAAAAATGCAAGCTAGCACCAATGCAGTAACAACTATCCCTTTGACTTGCTGCAGATCTTGGGGCATCTTGTCGCAGGAGAGGAAAGGGTGGAAGAGCTTGGGTTTTATGGCAGCTTTTCCAATTAAGTGACGAAACTGCTATTTCTGCTCAGAGATTTAGATCATCTGTGCAAACAGCAACAGCACTGCCACTCTGTTCTTCCATCTTATGTTGCTCCTTAAAGCAAAAGGCATTCTTTAGTTGCTTGAACCAACAAAAGAGTTTCAAAGCAACGTGCTTCTTCAGCACGCTTGTCAGAAGCATATATTAAAAATGATCTTCACCAGCAATACGAGTGCATTTGTCATAGTTGTCGCTTGCTTTCGTTCGGTGCAAGTGAAGCCTGCAGCCTTGCACGTGTGCCGTGAAGGGTGTCGTTTGCTCGCTGCGGCCGGTGTCCTTTAAGGCCAGACCTGTTGCAGACAGAAGAGTGAGTCAGCAGTGGTGTGTGAATTGCATTCCAGTCTAATACTTTGAGATAATAAGTAAGGTACTTCAGGATGCTTATATTTAGATGGGGGAGAAATTGGCTTGTCTGTTTAAAAAACAATCATGTTTTTCTAAAAACAGTTGCCCCCTCCCCCCTCCCGGCTCACTCTTAGATATTTGTTTTTCAGCAACACTTCAGTTTTTGTGCTGTCAGGTTGCAAAACCCCAGAGCATACAACACTTTTATTGAATCAGCATCAGTAAATTGATTCATACTCTCCTTCCCTTCCCCCCCCCCCATTTGAAGTCTTTTTTCATTTTGTTTACTTACTGGTATATTGTGGAACACCTTTTGCAATGGGTTTAAAAATGCACCCGTAATGATGCACAGTTAAGCTTAAGCATTCAATTCTGCTGGCTTGCTCCTATTTAAAAGAAGAAATGCATGCGAGCTGTGCATGTACGGCTCGTGCATCACCCCTGAGGAGTGAGGGAGGGGAGGGGGTCACATGAGATGCGGGAACTAAAAGGGGATCGGGCTTTGCAAAAGCGTGAGACCGCCCCGGTTATTTTGGAACTTTTTATCTCTCTGCCTGCGTGTTTTGAGGCTTTGGTGTTTGGACAAGTCTGTGAGCCTGCAAACTGGAAACGCTGCTGTTAAGATGTTCTGTTCCCTTCACTTGGGGTGTCTGTCTGCTTCGCTTCCATCTTGCACCAGCTGGGAATCCTGGAAAGTATCTTGTTTCTTAGCCTCTCAGAGAGGAAAAGCCAACAGCAGAAGAAAAGCGTCTGAACATAAACTGCAGGCTGAAACGCGTGAAAAAAATGTGTAGTAAAGCTCACGATTGCAAATAGAAATTTGAGCAAGTTACATGGTAATTTGGTGAATTTGGGCATCTGTCTCATGGGTGATACTATAGTTGAAACTGAGTTTTATTTTGATGTGGTATGTCAAAATGAATTTATTTTACTCCTGTTGCTAGCATGAATGCTTGTCTTCTACAGAGAAGAGCTGTGGAAAGCAGGCTAATATACTGGATTATTTTGCTGTGGTAATTTATATAGCCCCGCTGCTCAGAGCAGGATGCAAAAGGAGGTGCTTTTGAGTATAAATGCTAGAACTGGCAGGAGGTAGAAATCAGGTTGAAATCAGGAATGAGGAGGGAATGATGAGGGGTTCTAGCTGAAAGTCAGGTAATTCAGTGTTAATAGGCATAAAGCAGGTACACATGATTTATAATCAGTTTCTTCTGCTTATGGCAAATAGTAACTGATAAAATAGTAAATACATTGCGAATTATATAGCACCTTTTGTTAATTTAACGAAAAGGTATGGACTGCTTGCAGAGTGAAATACATTCAGAGTTTGAGATTTATGCGATTTGATGTATCTGAAGTTATCACAAGCTCTGAAAGTTAAGCAACTTAATTTTTTTTTTTCAAGATAAGCTTTTTTTAGGGTTTGGGCAAGTACAGAATAATTTGGAAACCAGATGTGAACCCCTTTTAGTGTCTGTATTTAAGGCAGCTACAGATACTTGTTTGGATTTCTCAAAAGCTTTCGTATTTTTCTCATTGTCTGCATAAATCATCTTTTGAATAGTCCAAGCAGACCAATGTCTATTAATACTTGGATTACAACATAGTAAATGCTAATTCTTTTTTTGAGAGTAGAAAACGTTATTTCCGTGTATTCAGTTCTTAATGTTTTTCTTAAGTCGTCTAGTTAACTGTGTAAATGCAGAACTAGGTCCATGCTGCTTCCCTGTGAGTACTTAGGCTTGTGGGAATTCTGCAAGGATGGAGTAAAGTAGTTTGTATCCTGCTTCAGGCTTTTCTTTGTGTACAAGTAACTGGAATATTAATATCTTGGAAGCTGCTGCAATGTCTTCCATTCTGATGATTACTCTTTGGAGCTTTGTTATATTTTAACCATAAAAATGATTCTTACAGTTGTGGAATAATTTAGGTTGAAAGGGACCTCTGGAAATCACCTGTTTCAGCCCCCTTGTTTAAAGCAGGGCCAGCTTCAAACATATCATGCTTTGTTCTTACTCCTTCTAAAATTAGTTTGAGGAGGAGTATGTTAATGTGGTAGGGTATGGTCTGTTTTTGAGCTGCTAGTTTCATTTCTGTTTTGCTTTTCAGTGAAGCTTCTTCACTACATTATCATTTCTAATAACGTTTAAAACTTGGGAATACTTTCTTTCCTTGAGTTCTGTTTTTTAAAAAAAAAAAAAATCCATATATCATTATACCACCAGGAAAACAAATACCAGTAATTTCCTAGCAATTTGTTGTGAATTCTTTACTACGTCAGCTCTAGATGTAGACTTACAATTTTCTCATTTGGCCTTTTTCCTTAGTGCTAATTTGTTTTTGCTAAGAGGTACTTTTCCTAAGTTTTTTTCATTACAGGTTGCTTTTGGCAAGTGAATTATAGGTAGTTCAGAATAAGAAACTAGAATATTTTTCCAGAAGTGGGGAATTGTTTTTTTTAATAAACAAGATACATAATCCTTTTCAAATCTGTACATTTCCATCTATTGCCATATCTTACATTTAGGCATTCAGAGCTACCTTAGCAGCTACTATAGTGGTCTGTTATGTAGAAATCATGGAAAGTGATAAAAACATTAACATTTATGTAGCTTTGCCAGGGCTTGCATGCCTGAAGTGCACTTTTTTGTTTGTTTTGCTGTTTTGTGTGGTATACCTATTTTGGGCTCACTGGGGACTTGAACATGGGTTTTAATTTGGAACATCTTACAATTTAGTCACACAAGACTATTTTAATAGTTTCCCATTGGATTTAATATGCCATTCAAACTGTAGAGAAAGACCAGTATGTAGCATCTATGTGATTCTAATGAGATAATGTATGATAGAAGTGGATTACTTGACTCTGCCTTTCTAGTGGATTGCCTTCCTAATCGATGTTAACCATCAGCTGCCCGATAGCAAAGACTTCTAATAAGTTACCTGTTTGAGATGTAAGATTTCTGTTATAGTGGCTGTGGTCAAAATACTGTTTTTTCAAAAGTTTCCCTCCTGATTTTGGTTGGTCGTCCCCCCCCAACCTTTTTCTCAGCTTTTTTTGGAAAAGATCCCTTATTACTGCATATGTAAAGCTGAATTGTTCACATATGAGAGTCAGTCGGAGTTGTTGCTCTGACTTTGATACAGTTTAACGTTTGACTAATGTCCATTTAATGCTATTGTAGAAATTTCACATGCTTTACAAATGTTTCCATAACTTGCATATTCAGATATTTATCCAAACATAATTGCTATGGGTTTTCCTGCAGAGAGGCTTGAAGGAGTATACCGGAACAACATTGATGATGTAGTAAGGTAAGGCTTTATTTTTCTTTTCCTTAATTTATTCTTGTAAATCTTAAGTATCCTTTTCTGCACTCATTTGTGTTCTGCTAAGGAAAGGATGTGTGTTCTGACTCATAGGATGGCAAGATTTTTTCATCTCGTAGATGTTGTCTTACTAGCTTTCCTGAAAAATGTTGGAAACAACAAAAATAGTATTTTCAAGAATTTTGGGCCAGGCTGCTCCTCTGGGTTGATCTCAAATGCATGTAATCTTTTTAGTGTGAAAAATTGACTTCAGTAAACTCTGTTGGAGTAAAAAGAGGTTCTTTGCTTTTAGAAAGATGTCAGTCTGTGCCTCTGTTCATGGTGTTGAGAGTTTCCTCAGACACCTGATGGCGTTTCAGAATATGTTTGCCCATATCCTTTCTTCAATCAACAAATTAAGTGCTTGATAAGTTAATTTTTATTTAAAATAGTAAATATAGGTGACTTTAGATAAAGGCTTTTACGTCTGGCTGTGTTCAATAGTTGTGGATGAGGAGAAAAATCAGCTAAAACTCATTATTGCTGGTGATGCTTTATAGCACATTTTGTTAAAAAAACTACAGGTTGTAATTTTTAATGTCAAATAAAGTTACCTACTCTGAACTGCTGGATACAGCTGTGGAAGGTGTACTTGGTGTTTTAGGAGCATCGTTGTAATTTGTTTAATTGACACCCTGCCTAGAGAACGTAGTGTGAGAGGTTGCATTAACAACTAAATACTTGGCAGAAGCTGCCAAATGTTAGTGTTTTTAGGATCCCAAGTTCTGATTTTTTAAATCATGCATGATGCTTTTGAGATCTTGGGCATTTGAGGTCATAAGTTCAGTAGCTCTCTGCGAGACATGATGTTTGGGGATGGGTGGATATTGCAGTAAGGGGCATGGCTATGCAGTGAAGTTAACGTAGGTGTATCTGGGCAAGAAGGTGCATGCTGCTCCCAGGTTTGAGATGCCACAGAAGGTTTCTCATAATCGTTGGCAGGTAGAATTAGCGCTGCTTGAATTTCACTGGTAGTTGTTTGCATCCAGGTTTGTACAGAAATGACTTGAGACAGCTCCTCGGTTCCCACACTGGGAGGAATCATAACGTTCAACTGAGAATCAGTCGTCTGGAGGCAGCTGCAGTTAGCTTCAGATGAGTTTGAGGGGGTTTCGTTTTTGCATATTTAACCGTCGTGACGAAGCTTGCTATCCACGAATAGTACTGAAAATGTCAGAGGCTGGATTTGACCAGGCTTGCAGAAGTGACCTTGTTCTGTCACGCGGTAGTGAGGAGAAGTCACTTTTCCAGAGATGGTCATATCAGTGAGGTTCAGCGTAGCAATCTGTAAATACCCTTGCAGAGTGTGTATGTCCCTGCTAGAATTGTTAACAGAGGCGTGAAGTTGTGTTTTCTAATCGTATCATTGCACACAGCTTGCGCACAAGAAAAAACTTTTGCTGTCCTTTTGGTACAGTTAAGGGCTGTCTCGTAAACTCAAACTAACTAGCCCTTTCTTTAGCAGCAGTCAGAGCTACCTTTTCCTTAAGTTGATGTGGGCATTGCATCTGCTCTGTGGAATATGTGGTCCCTGATGGACTCCACCTTTGGAAATTGTAGGATAGGGGCAAAGGCTGGACTTGGAATAAATGACATGGGAATAATCCAAATAAATAATAATAGGCAGTAGTCTTTGAAGGCCCTCTTCCATTCACAGCATTGATTTCGTTTGCTTCTGTATGAAGGAAAATATATTTTATTGGTTAAGTAAGTAGATATGTGTAAATTAGACTTTTGAAAGGAGATGACTATATTATTATTAAGTTGTCCATAAACACTCCGATCAAAAGGAGTAGTGATCACCTAAAAGTGTAATCAACCAAATTAAGATATGGAGAGATGTAAATTAAGTGGCTGTAGGGAACTGGTAGTAGTAGTGTGATGTATGTTGCTCCCTATTTTTAAACAAGAATAATGCACAAAGTGTGATCATGCAGCATTCTGCGTGTTGCAGTCAGCAGGTCCTCATCTGCTCCTGTCGTCTTTTTAGTGTGGAATTTTTTTCCAAGAGCTTTTTATGCAGAAATTCAATGTGTTTGAGCACTGGAGCAATTGGTATTGAGCCAGGATACGCCAGTGGGCTTTTTCTGAATAGCTGCTATCCTGACAAATTCAATGCTAATGCTGTATGAGAAGTACGACCTGGACTGCTGGCTGTCTCCTGTGACTGATGCTTTGAGAGGTTTTGGATGGAATTTTGTCCCTAGAAAAATACTTGCATGAAAGCTTATGCTCGGCTTTGTGGGTATTACTGGCAGAAGCGGAGTCAGCTCTCCTTGCTCTCCGGTGTGTTTTAAACAAGCAGGGACACCTCCTGAAGCAAATCGCCATGTCCACCATCTTCCTTAATCTCTCGAAGTCTGCCAGCAGGGGCACCAGGGGGGGTCATGAAATATTTTTGCCGATCAAATTGCAATCTCATACTCAATGTGCACAAGAGCGTTCACATCTGTTCTTATTTTAACGCATCGGTTTAACCACAGAGTTCTTCTAGGTTCTTCTGGAATATTATGACTGATAACCAGAGCTTGTTTTTGCTTGAGCTTTCCAGGATTTTAGCAGCTAGTGTTTCTTTTCAATTTGAACAGCATGTTCTGTCATGGCTAATTAAATTCCTTCTGCCTGATGTGCAGATACACACTGTTGATGATGTTAAGTGTAAACATTTGTATGTTATTTCTTCTTGAACATTGCCAGGTGACACATCATATATAATCACGGCAATTTTGATGAATCATGTTTGCAGTTTGGCTCTCTGAGGCTTGGATGGGAAGTTTTTGTTACAAAGTGAGCATGAAAATGAAATGAGTGTGAAAAAGTGTAGTGGTCTTCCTCCTCCTTTCTAAACCCAGAATATCAACAGGCACTGTCCTCAGTCTTCAGAGGCAAATAATGGCCATTTTAAAAACCTGGTATTAAAATAAATTATTCTGGCTGTTCTAACTGGAATATGAAAGTTATTTTAACTGCTTTTTTTCATTGGAAATGCCACCCTGGCAAAATAGTTTGCATAGATAATTAAATTGGAAGTGTTTACAGATACCTTGTGTAATCAATGCTTTCTGCTTTAAAAGTGAACAACCCTTCCTCAGCTTAATATATTGATGTGCAGGTGTCTTAGAAACCAGTGCAGATTGGTCCATACAGTAAATATTTCAGTTGCAGGTCAGATCTTGGTCTCCTCAGTTGCATAAGTAGTCTTACTCACACTACTGGATTATTTGTATGAGTGAGGTTTGCAACACGCTGCCTCCTTGACTTTGAGGCACTGCAGGGCCAGCTGGGACTTGGAATGCAGAACTGCACATGCTGAATGGTGCTTTAATGATGCTGCAAATTAAGGTCACCATTATTGCGATGTATATTAATACATGCCTTTTTTTTCTATTTAAGGTTTTTGGATTCAAAGCATAAAAACCATTACAAGATATACAATCTGTAAGTATGCTCTTATAGATGTATTTTCCAAAATAATGAGTTCTAAAAATAGCTTATGAGTGAAAGTGGCTCGTTGCTGTACTGAAGCAGAGCTAGAGATGTTTTGCACATTTCTTAAAACAATTAAGCCTGATTGAGAGCACTGTTACTTCATTTAGTGGAGCTGAGTGAGGTTAAATGAAATGCTGGTATGTATTCATATTACTTGAACGCTTTTAAATGACTTGGCATCTAGCCCATCTGGAGCTTGTACCATGTGATTAAAAAGTGAAAAGTAATTCACAGCAGGCTTTCTGTTAATGTATTAATGTCCGCAGTGAAGAAATTGCCAAATGAATATTTTCCTTTTTCTTTTTTTTTTTTTGTATCAAACTCTATTGGCACCCAGGTTCTGCTTGCTTCCTCACTTTTCTTGACTGTCCCTCTTTATTACTTTGAAAAAGCTATTGCAGCAATTGGTAATGTGATGGTTTCTCACTTTTGTAAGTGTAATGTTTTCCTCTGAAAATTTAGTTATGCAGAATGCTGTTCTTGTTACAGAAGGGTTTTTTCTGCTGTTCTTATTCCTTGATGATCTTTATATGTTAGCTTAGGCTAATTTCATTTTTATAAATTGTTTGGTGATGTCAGTTGATGTTGAAAAGTAGGTCCTGGTTTTCCTACCCCTCACATTTTTCCCAGAAATCTAAGTTGAAGATTTATTCATTCTCTGAGCTGTTAAGGCTTTATTTTTTTTAAATGAGTATGTTCCTAAATATCTGCAATTAATGGAAAAATTACTGTCGTATGGAAATCCAGGCAATGCATTAGATTGTAATCTGTCAGTCATTAAAAATAAGTATTTAAATATGCCTCTAAATTAGTTGAAGGATTATGCATCAAGCAATTCTGCTTCCTGATGTTGGAGTGAAGTGATACCAGAAGCTGAGAAATTGTAGACTGATTATTGAAGTTGTCTGTAAAGCCTGGGGTAGGATGGGACAGACAAAGATATGTAAATAAAATATCCATTAAAATAAACTAATTGGACACCTGTCATACAGTTCAGTAAGAAAATTATTTTCTCCAGCTTAGAAGCTCTCCAGAATGTTAGCCTTTTAATAAATGCTGCCTTGGTGGCACTTACGGGTGGAAAGGACAGTGCTTCCTAGAATGGCTGATAGCTCCTTCTGCATGTAGGTGCAGCTCTCTAAAGAAGTAACTTTCTGGATATCTTCCTTTGAAGTCTTCTGGAGCTCAGCACTAGAGAGCTGTATCGTGTAAAATTGAAGTACTATGGTTTTATTAGACCCCCCTGAAACCTCTGCTTGGTTTGGGGAGCAAAGCAGAACAGGGCAGATACAACAATTTCCTCCTGCCTCTTGAGGCTGAGTTCAGCTGTCAGCTTCTGTGAAGTATGGCTCTGGTAGCGTTCACAAGATCAGGGTTTGCTGAGCTGCCTGATACCGAGCTTGTTGTTTCGAATTGGCTCGAGAGGTGACAGGTAAAACAATAGGTTGCTGTGTGTTAGCTTCTAGGCTTGTCAGAAAGTAAGAGTTTAGTAAGACTTCTGTGCATCTTAGCAAGTAGCTCCTCGAGGAGGTGGTGCTTGAGAAGTTTCCACTTTGCTGTATGCTAGCAACCTCATTTTACTTTAGAAAAAAGCAAAAACCGATCCCCCAACTCTACACAGGAACAGCTTTAAAGTTTTTGAGTGAGAAGAGCTGTGATGAGACAAATGCTTTTGACAGTTACATTACTGATACATGTATTTTCAGCTGTGCAAAGAACTTGTCCAGGTCTGCCAAAAGTTTTTGTCTTCAAGTTCTTCATGTAAAAACTTTTAACTTTCGGTTTTCAGTGCAAGAACCCCCCCATTGATTTTTCTTGTTGCTAACTTCAAAACAATCGCAAGTGAAACTTCCTAAAATTACTTTATTCTCCCTCAGATGAAAACTTTTGCAGGAGAAAATGTCCTTTTAAAGTGTGTGAGTTTTCTTCCTCCCCAAAACATGGATCAGCTGCAAATGAAGATTCAAACGATTACTGCACAGCTTGGAAAGCATAGCTTTTCAACTGTGAATCTCTGGCTAGAGAGGCCAGGTTATCTCTTTATCTCGAGATGGGCAAAATTTATACACGTGTTAACTACATAAATGCCATTAGGTGAATTGTTGCAATGTTTGGTCATGAGATGGGAATAAACTGCAGCCTTCAGGTATTTTGGAGAACAGCATCTCTTTAGATTAAGCTGATCCTTTGTAAATAATCAACCTATTGTCTGTGTTTAAAAGGAGGAGGTGGGAGTTCAGAGGAGTTATGTGATTATATCCAGAATTACTTCAAATGCTGTCATGGGGTTTGAGTTCCCTTAAGGTAGCTGTAATATGAAGTTGATAATAGTGTGTGTATGGAGCAGTTTTATTTAAAAGGATTTAGAAAGATTTTTCTGAACAGATGCTTAAATGATGTCAGTTATGCCTCATCCTCACATCTTGGCTTTTAACTTCCCAGTGAATGTTTGAGCAATCAGTTTCATTTTGTTTCTTGTTTGTGTTGGTTTTCTCCTGTGTTTCTTTAACCCTTTGCTATTTTTTCAGTATTCTTTATTTTAACATGTTATTCCACTTTCATCTCCTAACTTCACATACTGCCAAATTGTTACCTCCCCAATTGTAATAATCTCCATCTTCTCTAGTATATTTCTTCTAACTGTCCTACAGGCAGATAGTTAAAGGAAGGAGCTGTAATGAACAATGTGGATTTTGTGTGCATACTTTCTGTACCTCTGTGTGCATGGGGTTGGGATTTGTCATAGGCTGCCATTTTTTTGGTAGCCTGTAGACCTGTCGTCAGTGGGATCGTGGTTATGATCAGAAAGGTGCGTGGCTGGCAGCACTTAGGATCTGGGTTGCTTTGAACTCGCTTTAATCATCAGAAGGATTACAAGAACCAGGACAACCCACTCCCCCTGCCAAATCCAAAAAGATGTTCAGGTTTCATCTGGAGATCTGACTGTATTACGTCTAACAGTGTTTTAAAAAAAAAAAAGCATTTGAAATGCTAAGCAATGGAAGCATCCCCCAAAGTGTGCGTCGGTGGGATCTCTGCTGCAGATACACATGTGTTTCGTGTAATGAAATGGGAGTATATTTTGTACAGCTGTGTCTGGAGCTCTGCATTTGTCCTGTGTTGTGTACAGCTCCCATAAGAGGGCATAAAGAGTGACATGGCTATGTTCTGTGCTCAGTTTCTATCCTTGGTATCAACAAAACTATTTTTTATCCCTTATGGTATTCTACTTGATACTCTCTCAAACTTCAAAATTTGAAGGCTTTTTTGCCCATATGTGGATTTTTTTTGTTTTGAAGACTTTCATCTCTTACTACCCCTTTGAACTGGGTGTTTCTTTAAAAGGAAGAAGGAAACTTTCTTGGATAAGATGCTTTGTGTTAACTGCTTTGCTTCCTAGCAGGCTCAGCTTCCAAAATTCAGATGCTGACTAGCTTGTAACAGGCTTTGCCCAGCATGGCTGATGGCTCTAGGCATGGTGACTCCATCTTGGGTGTACGTACTGTGTCTAACCTTTCTTCTCAAAGGCTCGAGTGCAGATAATGTTTTTTTGAGTCCCATCTGCCAGCTCAACCTGCGCCGTATCACTTCTGACCCGGAGAAAGTGTCAGCAATGTGATCAGAGCTGTAAAAACTGCCAGACTTTTCCCTAGCAGAGGCTAGAGTCGAGAAGGCTCTGGAATTGAGAGAAAGGGAAGCACTGAGTGCATGTGCAACCCCAGCAGACCTGCCTCTGTCCCTGGTGTATGAGTCTCGTGGACAAAGCTCAACGCAGCACATGCGAGGCTCCAGTTACGTGCAGCAGTCATGCAAGTAGGAGCCTAAAAGTTTGCGTGTCTGAAAGTGTCAAGTAAGCTCCATACGGCTCCAAAGGCTGCAGTCATAACATACCTGCTAAGGAGGAATAAGTTCATACCAGTCCTGAAACTGGTGTAGGTATTTGAACCCTATGAAGAGTACAGGTTATAATCAGAACAGAAGATCTAGATATGTTTTGTCTACTGAAATGACTCCCAATCATTGTGTTTCAACCTGGAGTCCTGTTGTTTCGAGGCAGGATTGTTCTCATTTTCCTTTCTGAACTGCATTTTCACGTGCATCGTGTAGAGGAGCATCATTTTGCCGGCAGAGAGCAACTCCATGGAAAATTACGGAGGGCATCCACTTCTTTCCCCTTACCCCCAACATCTGATCTAGCTTTTTCCCTTACAGTATGCCATTTTGGCTGTATTAGAGCCCTACTGATTGGATTGTTTATATCTGCTTACAGATGTTTGTCCCTAGGCAAGTCATCCTGCAAGACTAATACAGTATGATTTGCTGTGCCACCAGCTAGCAAGAGTGGGTCTCTTACAGAGTGGTGAGAGACACGTTGATGCAACTCTAAAGTCTTCAGAAATGTGCCATTTTCCAGGGTCTGTGAGGGGAAAACTGGCTGACAGGCCTTTCGGTTTTTTTGAGTTCACCTAACTTCAAGAACAAATGCCAAGTTGGAGAGCAGTGTCGCAATCTCTGCTTGATACGGGTGACCTACCTTATAATATTCGGTGGTGCCTTCAGTTGCCTGTGGTGGCCTTGGTGCGTTCTGTAAATGAAGGAAGAATGCTTGCTTAGGTTGCACTAGCCGAGGGTCTTTGAAATGTCCTTGTGATCCCCGTCACCCCTAGCACTCCTGTTGTCGTTGAGGCATCTTGACATGTGTTTTGAGTTCAGAGTCAATTGGTTGAAGGTCATAGCCATCTACTCTTTATGTGTTTGTGTGGGAGCGTAAAGCTGCTTGAGCAGCTGGAGCTGTTAATACCACAGTGTTAAAAAGTAATAGTGTATTGTATCACTTGCATGAATGTCTCCATTGAGAGTCACACTGACTAAAACATACTGATGGACCACAATCACCATAGGGTAAGTAATTGTTTTTCAGTAAAATAAACTGATATTTTAGTGAGCAACTTTATACATCTGCAACAAAACAGTTTTTCTGTACGCAACCTCTAGCTATAGTTTTAAATCATAAAGGGGGTGGGTATACATGATTTTCCCATATGCTGACCTGTATGTTCCAAGGTGTAACAGGTGTTGGGAGTGCCTCAGAGACTTGTCTTGAACTCTTGTCTATTTTTCCTTTTTAGATGTGCTGAAAGACATTATGACACCGCCAAATTTAACTGCAGAGGTACGTTTTTACTGTCTAGTATGTGTTCTCTTTAAACTTCAGTGTTTCTGGATGAGGGTATAAAGGAGGAGCTGATGAATAGTAACGTAGGAGATTTGGGCACAAGGAATGATGTCAGATTGCTTTGAGTCATTGGAGAAACTTGCTGTATTCTCAATGCTTTCAAAAAAATATGTTCTGACAGTTAACTAGCTCAAGATCTAATAAAGCAATCAGAAGTCTACTGTTGCAAAAATCTTTGCAGAATGGGTTATATAGAAGTTTCTGTTCAATTCAGTGTGCAAACTTACTGTAAAATTTAGCTGTGAAGCTTAGAGAAGTCTGGTTTTTATGCAGAAGCATCAGTTAGAATAAAAATGGAGAACACTTAAGTCACTGTTCATATAAAACAACTTTTTGAAGATCTGGAACAAAACTTCAGTTGCTTTAAAAAAAAAAAATTAATTCCCATGTGATGCCTCTTTGAGATGAGTTGGTTCTTAGACACTTTGCAGAGTTACTTGAACCAGTGGGGAAACTTCTGGGGCTCCTTTTGATCAGACCCCTGGTGAGTGGAAACTGATGTACCTGTTTTGTCAGTATTAACTCCTCAGGTAATAAATAAATAAATACAGATTTACCTTCATTCTTTGTGGAGAGAAACATCTGTGTGCCCATTAGTAGAGCTTGTAGTTGCTCTTCGTGCAATGCTTCAGAATGGCTGGGTAGATAAGGAGTACTTGTATGTACATAATTGTAGGAGATGAATAGATTTCAGCCTTACTGGCTAATACTGCTATATGTCATAGCAAGGGCTCAACTTCTTTTTGTTGTTGTTGTTGTTGTTATTATTATTATTATTATTTTAAACCATCCCTCTAGTTGTAAAGAGGGTCTTTAGATCATGACCAAAATGTAATTGGCTGCTTTAATGTCTGAATATAGAAGGACTGAAATTTTCATTTTGAAGTCATCTTTGCTTCTGATTTGCTCTTACGATGTTGAATGACAGTGTCCTGAAACCTCAATACATACAAGCCAGAAAAAAAGTATTTTAAGATCTGCTTGAGCAATACTTTGGGTAAGAGGAGAAAAGGTGTAAATGAAAAGGACGTGCTTCTAATATGTCCAGAACATACGCTTGCTTTAATTTATGCTTTCTATTACGGGGGTTCTCAGATCCCTTCACTGTCAATCCCAGCCCAAAATGTTGTTTGTGACAGCACCTTTCACAGCTCCTCTGCATAAGACAACACTGTTGTAGGGAGCTACATGTTGCATTTTTTTTCTTTTCATCCCCAAATTAGTTATCTTAGATAACCAAATTGGTGACTCAGGACTTCCCTTAGCAGAGGAACAACAGTTCTACTTTAAAATCTTCTGAAGTGAATTAATTTCAAAGGGAACTTCTCATTTGTACACTTAGCATGAAACACCATAGTAGTTCAGTATTCAGCTTCGGATGCTCTTGCATCAAATTCAAAACCAAATGTTGAAAGCTCTTCATCTTCTTTGTATGCTAGCTTTCTGTCTAGGGTTTTTGCAGTTTCTGAAGTACTTCCATGCTGGAAATTGCCTTCTGCTTTGCCACAGGCTTTTCTTTTTATTTTTTTCGCCCCTTTATGTGCTATGGGATTTTTCTTGAAACGTCTAGGAGCTTGGAGGGAGTAATCAGAACCGTTCTCCATGCTGTGCGCTCCAGTGTTAGGAACCAAAATCTGTGCAGGACCTGCACCCTCTAAGCTCAAGATTGTGCAGCTTAATGTTTCGTAAGGCTGCTTTCTGACTCTTAATCCCTCTGCACCATCACAGGGCACCCATTTCATCTGCTCCTCATTCCATCTTTGAAGAAAATACTGCAAGGTTTGCCTTTGATCCCAAATCTTGGAGAGCTTCTTCAGCATGCTGTTACTACTTGAGATTTTTCAGGCTGTTCTGTCAGGACTACTTTGTCTCTCTTTTTCATGGGAACCTTATTGGATGTAGTTAAGATAGACCCAAAGTTGTACGGACAAATTTGCAGCATCTCCTAACAGCTTCTTTTCTTAGGCATTTCTAATTAAATTCCTCCTTTCATTTACATCTGCTGCAAAAAGCAGCATCTCTGTAAGTTCTCATAAAACGATCATTTGGGGAGTCTTTGGATCTTCCATGTGGAAGAATTTATTAGTGTATGTTAATGTTCGTTAACGTTTGCTGCTCCTTTAGCAAAGATTATTCATTTTATCAGGTTTCCCTATTTGGTCTTCTGGGAGATTAAGTGGGCGGTCTGTACTGTGAGTGAATAAACTGTCCTTGCAGATCCCTCCGAAAGGCTTCGGACTTGTGCTGCAGTCATTAAGCAGTTCCATAACTTCATCCCTCACTTCTGCTCTTTGAGTCCTTGGGGATTCATCAAAAGGAGCCTTGCGTGTGTGACAAGAGAGTAGTACTTACGAAATGAATACAAACACTTGCCAAAAAATGAAATGTATTCATTTTTAGACCAGAAAAGGAAATGGTGTTTCTAGCTGAGAATGTTTAAATGAACCAGACTTGTATTTATAAGATCCCAAGTCTGTCGATCGAGAATTGGGGTGTACTTTATGAAGTGCTGTTCTCCTGATGAAACTGGTACAGCCCTATGTAATTCTGCCAGTCAGCATGGCATTGTCTGTCATCTTATCTGAGGTGTTAGAGGTTTGGCTTTGGGTGCTTGTGTTGCTTATTTTTTGCTCTCTTGAGTTTTCTTTAATTTCCTGCATGCTCGCTTGAAATTCTTTCCATCTCTAGATGGAAAAAAGGTGTTTGTGTGCGTGTATATATCCATATAAGAAAAAGAACAATTTCTTTCAGTGGTTTGACTTTAAAACCCATAAGTATTGCAAGTGCCTTACATAAGATTTCTTTTTTGATTACCATTTTTTAATACGGAAATTGCAGTTTTTTGTTTCAAAACCTCTTTGAGCAAATTCTGAGAGTTTGTTCCCAACGTAGACTCAACTGTGCTCAGAATTTTTCAGCAAACTTCCTGCTGTCTGATCAGTGACTGAGGTCTGGCCCTGTTTTCTCTCAGCAGGTAGTCTAATTTTTGCTAGAGTAATGGGTTTTTACAAGGTTACTCTTTGTGCCAATGCACTCTTAAATTGTAGAAAATTCGTGATGTAAGATACAGAGTCTGTGCCACTCTGTCAGCAGCGATGTGAAATAGTCTCTTCATGTTGCAGGATGCTTGCTTACGTATTACTAGAGAAATGTCTGCAATGCATATAATATGCAGTACATTGCTGAATAATATTGGAATAAAAAACTTTACATATCTATATGTAAGACGGGGGGTTTATTTAGAAAGTTGATTTTTTTGCATGCTTGTCACCAAGTTGACCTGTCTAGTTGAGCTTGCTGTAATTTCCTTTTGAGATTTTGATAAATTACTTCTTCTCATTGCAGTTGCACAGTACCCTTTTGAAGACCATAACCCACCACAGTTAGAGCTTATCAAACCTTTTTGTGAAGATCTTGACCAATGGCTAAGTGAAGATGACAATCATGTTGCAGCAATCCACTGTAAAGCTGGAAAGGGACGAACTGGTGTAATGATATGTGCATATTTGTTGCATCGAGGCAAGTTTTTAAAGGCTCAAGAAGCCCTAGATTTCTATGGGGAAGTAAGGACCAGAGACAAGAAGGTGAGCTATTTTCTGATCTTTGGTTCTCCTACCTGTATCTTTATGCTTTTCCTACTTGAGGTCAATTTGAATAGTCAAGCCCTTTAAGAAATACTTTCCATCAGTTGTGCTATCTGGTTTGATTTAGCTTTAACGTTATTGGATCAGTGCAGTTGTTCTAGATGAAAAAGCTTGCCTAAGCAGCAGTAGCAATTAGTCACAACACTAAAACAGTCTGGTTTTTCCATCTCCTGTTTGAGATGATCTGGACAGTTTATTTTAAATAGCCTTTTAAATAGCATTCTACTGTGTGTTACATCAAATGGGCGGTTGACGAGTGAACTTTCTCGTTCAGCATTTTCAGCCCAAATAAGAGGATTATTCTACCTCATTTTGTCTGAATGGATGAGCTGTTCAGCTCCTCAGGTTCTCTTCGTTTCTGTGGTGGTGTTTGGAGACGCATAGTCATTACAGTGTGTGTTACAGCTGAATATTCTTACTGGAAGAGTATATCAGCCTGTTGTTGGATACCCCTTTTCAATAAAAGGGTAGTTAAGCCCAGATATTGGCGGCCTCAGAGCCTGCTTTATGAGGTGCTGCCATTTAGTTTCTTGTACTTCTCCTGAGGAGAAATGGGAGGATCTCATTTCAGAGAAATTATGTTCATGGCTACAAGAGCTTTCTGTTAGGACCTTGTCAGTGGTACAGACAGACTTAGCAGTAACGGTATGTTGGACGTTTCTGGCATGGTTATGTCTCATTAATGGGAATTTAACCTCCTTATTTGAAATCTTCTCCAAATATAATAAGGTGTGCCTTATTATCATGCAAGGTCAGTTCATCAAGCTTCCCTGCTCATCTTCCATCATTTCCTTGTGTACGTTGGTAGAGCAGCCCAGGGGGATCATCCTGGCAGGCCAGTTTCAGCCTACTCAAGTACAGAGCTCTCTGTGTTTCTGTAATATTTGCATAAAGTATTAATTTCACAGTGTGTAGACCTCTAATAAGCAGAGCTTCATGTTTGAAGGCTCTTGAGAGCACAGGTGTCACATAAGGAATTTTAGAATTTGGCTGTTAATTCGTTGGAAGGAGCAAATAACTTCTTAGTTTGCTCTCTTTACAAGGTGGAGCTGTTACTCCGTGTACTGCTGAGAAGATAGTTATGGTGTAATACTAGAACGGAGACAGTGTCAAGGTTTCCCATCAAAAGTTTGTGGCATTTGGTAAGGGTACATAATAGTGAATAGGAATGAGTTGTGTGATGAATAAACAGTGTAGATTATTC